TCTTTTAGCCGAAAGAAAACAATTTTCCAAGCGCTAGCAAACCACGGGTTTCAACTGCCTCAAGTACATCAAAAGTTCTTTGAGGGAAGACAACAAACTTTGTTAAAGAGAAGGTTGGCTCACAATGTCAAGATGCAATCTGTGCCCTATGTGACCTGTCATAAATTATGAAAAACAGCGATTTGCAGTGCAAACATATTCTAGCTTAAAGAAAGTATGAGTAAGCAAAATTAGATTTTGGAACGCACTTTCCATTCTTCAAAAAGTACACAATGTTAATAACTGTCGACTGCAATCCGCCCATCTATCATTATACGGCTAAAATCTGAGTAGTTATTTCATAATGTGATCGTGTGATAGAGTGTGCATTTTGGCACTATACATAATCACTAGAATGGAAGGCCGTTTACGGCATTGTTTTAAGAGAGATTAAATCTTTCTAGCCAGTCTCGCACTGAATATCACCTTCGTCACTCCCATTATAGCATAGGTGTCGGAAGCTGGTCTGAATTCCTACTCCAACCCGAATAATAAGTAATTGCTATGAAAGATATAATAATGTATTAATTGTGTCTATATATCATAATGTTTATTGTGGCATTGGAATTATCAATGAGAAGGTTTTGACAGCATTCAGTCATACATTCCATGTAAGCAATCACAAGCAGTTTCGTTGCGATAGGATGGAGCATTATCACATTGTGCCCGATTAGAACTGTTTCTCACGGTGATATACATGGTCTACGCTTAGTCGTCTCTATAAGAGCGTTTTCTGATTCTTTCTGATTATATGTGCGTAATAGAAAAACCGATCTCATTCGCCAAAACGGAACTTTTCATAGAAGTTTTAGTAATCACTCGCAAGTTGAGACATCAGAACCTCATGTCGTCCGTTTCCAGAGCACTCATTTATAGCGCTGTAACATTTGAAATAAAATCATGTTCCATGTAGCCACGTGTTTTTTTTTCTCTTATCTCGCTTATTCTCGCAAACAACACTCCTTCCTTAGAGTGCCAATACTCAAACTATGGCACAACCATCAAAGAAATCAAAATTATGTTTGCTTTTCCAGAATCTTATTTGAACCTTTGATTTCCTAATCCGGCCCCACGTCGCCTGTTTTTTGAAACACGTTTTTATAACGCTGCAATATTCAAAGAAAATCATATTGAAAAAATCACATGTTTTGACTTATGATATCGCTTCACAACCTTCAATAAACTCGAAAATGTGCTTGATTTCTGTGAAGCTCTTTTGATCTTTGAGTGTCCTTTGGTATTTTGATTTGTGTCTCAAACCTCGCCAAACAGAGCTCTTTCTTTAGGACTTCATAAATCGCCTGATAGCGAAATGTTTATTGGTATTTGCGATGTGCCTATTTCCTAGAAATACGGATTAGCATGGAAAGTAAGATTAAGTCTTACATTTCTAGCAGCATTGTTTACCGGCTATATGACAAGCCGAGGGCCGTGGCAATGGGCGTGGTAATAGTGAGAAGAGGCGGAACCATCGCTATGTTGTTACTGATTAGGAATTTTCCCTCCGCAATGCAAGAAACTCCCGCTTAAACGATTGACTAAGATGCTACGAAAATTCCTCTACACATTGATATGCTTTCCAGCTTCCAGCGAATCATACGTGCCATAAAAATGAAAGCGAAAGGCGAGTATAAAACATATAATTATCTGAATGCTGCAGCGTTATGAAGCGGTGTTTTGGAAAACCGTCGAAATGGAGCTGTAAGCTCATGTCTCCACTTTCAAATGATCACTAACACTCCTATGAAAATCTTCTCCACAAAGAATAGGATCGGTTTTCATTTGTTTCCTCTCAATCAGAAAGAACCAAGTTGAAACAGCCATCCAATATTTGGTCCTACCAATCCTACACATTTGGTGAAATTCCGAAATAAAACCCATTCTAGGTGGAGTAATATAGAAATCGACACACTTCTTCGGCCAGAATCTCTTGTAGCTGCTCTGTCGTGATGAAGCATGTGTACTCTTCAACGGAGAATCTGGAAAAGTTAAGAAATTTTTCGTACTTACATCATTAGAAAGACCACCAGCATTTATTAAGATCACTTCATCACTTTATTTGACCCGTATGGCAGTTTTTTTATTATGTGGATCAGTCCCTTCGTACTTTGAGCATTTGATTCGTCTTTTCGCGTTCATCACTTGATTGATAGTTTCGTCTTCTTCATGATCGTCGTAGACGTCTTGCAATCTCGCGGACAACTGAGTCAGAATGTTTCTTGGAGCTTTCGTTATTGAATGGCGGAGAGTGCTGTGAGGCGTGTGGGGACCAACTCAACGCCGAGCCTCTGCCACCTTGCTATTGGCTCACGCTCGAATAGAGCAAGGTCGACCAATGGGTTCCGTCTAATCGAATGGTTGCGCCTGATATATTGACTCACATATCGCGTGTACGGTGTTAGGCAGAATCAGCGCTTTCGGCGTCGTACCGTGTCAGAAAAATTTGTTGAAGGATAAATGAGAGACAACCTTTCTGTATACTATACGAAGGTTGAAACTCATCGCTATTTATTTTTTACAAAAGAAAAAAATACGTTTTGAAGCCCGGTGATGTTGGAGCTGAAGGATGCCGCTTTCGTGCTAACAAGGATAGGAACTCGTAATGTATGGTCCATCGAACAGCTGTAATACTCCATTCCTGCAGTAGCATGAAAAATATTCTGACGGAATTTTCCGGTGAATGGAAGTAAAGCATTTCGGGTAGTAACTCCTTTATTAAATACACTTTGTATAATACAAAATCGTAGGAGTTCATCTTTATTAACAATCGAATCATGCAATTAGACCCGTCTTCAAGTGCATCACTCATGAAGACAAATGACGAAAAGCTTAAATGAACTCACACGAGCAAACGAAAGGCTGTCATGACCACACCATTATCACACAATCAGTCATCACCATATACTACGTCAGAGAAAAAAAATTATGCAGTGTAAGAGCAGTGATGCTTTCTAGAACTCTACTTCGCTCATCACAAATAAATAACACACTTATTGAGCGACACTGCCATTGTAAAACCCCACTGAATCCATAATAAATCATGGAAGAGACATCAAATAGCAATGCATAATTCAAACAGAACAATTTCGTGCAAGCGAGTCGAGAAAGCGCCAACGTTAAATCTCGACGTGACGGAGCGTTGAGACACAGACAAAAGGGCTTGTGGGTGTCGATCAGTAACAACCAAACTATTGAGAGTGGAACACACCTCTCTTCTCTTGATCCAATCACGGGCTGAACTCGAACAACAACTCGAAAAAGAGACAAGAACATTTGAAACAGAAAAGAGAAAGAAGATTAAATAATTCTAACACATGTACAGTCACATAGAAACATTAACAATCGGCAAGAATCTTGAGATCTATACAGTAAGTATAAACACTTTCTATTGATCATTCGCCAAACCAGTCCTATTTTGGGGGGAACGGTTGATATACCAGGTTGCTGCACAGCCAAAACCACCTCTGTCATCTTGACAGCCTTTTGGTAGACCGCCAGAGCCAGACACCAGGGCCTTGACGTACTGTAGACGATAGTCGCGCCCAGGAATCATCATATAGAGGATATTTTCCAAAGTCTTCTAACTATAATTTCGCAATTTGAGTAGTACTATGGTGCGCTAAGATTGCTTCATTTGGATGAGTTTTTATGCTGTACATGTTGGAAATTTAAACTAGAAATCGATCAATTGCAAACGATTCACACTTTGGAACCATGCATGCTTCGTGTGGGTCGAAAGAGACCTGTAATCGTTAACTCAATGACGCTCGTATAACCAACACTGTGTCAGTATTTCATAAGGTATTTTCAATTCTAAGTGGGCGAAACTGTCATTTAGATCTTATGGTTTTTAAACCTTTGGAAAAATCCGAAGGCGTTAATCAATCTATGAGGTATACGCCATGCATGCCAATTTTAGGCGCTGTTTGAGGTAATTGGATGCATATCTGGCCAGTACAACGATTTGCAGTGGCCTACCGCTGTGTCGAGTCAGTGCTGTTTGTGCGACCAAACAAACCTGGTAACAGTCTGCCAACCCTAGAAGGATGGATGGTTTGGTGAGATATGAGAACGAGATTGAACCATCACTCTTGGGTGCGGCGCAGAGCACTTCTAACCAGTGCGCCACGTGAGCTGCTTACACTGTGATGGCGTTCGAAAAATACTATGCATGGAAAACTACACTGATGAACTGAATGTGTGGGAATAAATGCATGCTGATCCCGCACAGTTTGATCAACGGACGTGAAATAAACTCGAGAATAAATTTGTACAAGGCTAAACCTCCAAATTTGCTGTTGCCGCTACCAAGATTGCCACGATAACCATCATTCCGTGAGCCACAACGAGTCGTTTCGCTGGCAGAAGTCCCTAGCCCATCCGGCAACTCCTAAAAAAGATACGTACGCTCATGGTGCATAGTGACGAATAGCCATCCATTGCTCACTCGATTAGCGTTGATCATCAAGCTCATCAGATCTCGCAATACTCCTATCCATTTCATTGGAAAACGACGTTGCAGGCCTTATAACACTAAATTTTCCAATACACAGTATAAAAGTAATGAATTTATACCAATATTTCCACCACGTGCGAAAAAATACATTGGTGAAATGATTAAGTACTTTATATTCACATAATAGAATACTTAGACGGTAACGATGATTCTAAATTGAATTTCCGCTAAGCACGCATAAGACACAGGCGTATAACGCAGTACGTTTCGAAGTAGAAGTTATCATCCTTCCGTACAGGAACAGAAAACGTCGCAGCGTAAGATTCTGGAAGCGTTTTGTATAATACCGCCAATCCAACCACAAATGACAGGAATAAATGCTCCTCAATCACAATCACGATGTATGAGAGAGTATATATCGAAATTTCTAGCATTTGTACTGCATTTTCTACAGTGTTATGATCATTGATATATCCCTAAGAAAATTGACTGATGAACAAAAACATGGCCTCAGGCGTGAATCGAATCCGCGTTTTATCCTATCCGGTGTCGCGTGCTCCACCACTACACCACCGAGTCACATTTGCGCCATCACTCATTCTTCAACACCCCAATGTTAGCTATCAGCCAGTAACGTTTAACAGATTTGGTCGGGTATGCGATTTCGCTTTATAAACCCAGCTGAGTTGATAGCCATTGTAATAACTAATACTCAAAATCTCTAGTATTTATACGGCATTTTTCGCAGTGTTATGATCATTCATATATTCCTGTGACTCGGTGGCGTAGTTGTAGAGCACGCGTCTTCCTTTAGGATGAAACGCGGGTTCGATTCCCGCTTGAGGCCGTGTTTTCGCTCACCACTCATTTCTCTTGGGAATATATGAGTAATCATAACACTGCGAAAAATGCAGCGTAAATACAAGAAATTTCGAGTAATAATCAATAGAATGGCTATCAGGTTAATGGGTTCATAAATCGAAATCGCATACTCGATCAAACTCTTAGAGGTTAGTGGCTGATAGCTCACATAGAGATGGTGAAGAAGAAGCGATGGCCGCAAATGTGCCTCGGTGGTGTAGTGGAGGACCACGCGTCTCGCGACAGGGACGAAACGGGGGTTCGATTCCCGTCTCTCCATGACGCTTCGCAGCAGTTACCTTTGTGTTTTTTTTTTCCTTTTCAGTTCAGTGGACACCATATCTTGCAATATCTCATGTCGTAACACTATAACACAGGCGATTTATCATTCAAATTACTTATTCAATATCAAAAAGTATAGAATTCTCAACAGCTGGGCGTTTTTTTTTTGCTATGATAATTACGTGTATGGAAGAACCTTCAATATTAATCGACACCAGAAGGCCCATTGTTAAGCGCCGTGGTAGGGATCAAATCAGCAACCTTCCTCCCGATGGCCAGCATCATAACTACCCTACATAACGGACTGCTCGCCATCCGCTCGCAGCGGCGAGGCGAAGTTAGCGTCGTGAATCTGTTGCACACAAAGGGTTAATAATGGATCCATACAATTGGATAAGTAGTGGATATACTTGTACGCTCAACGAAATGTACTTTGCACATCGGTGTGTCATATCTGATGGCACTGATACTTTTGTGTATGCAGGGTCAAGGTGAGATAGACGCTCAACTGATTGAGTTTGATTTGTTACGTGATTAAGGAGGGGGATAGCCCGCAGAGATCTATATCTCATACACTTCCATGCTGATACACAACTTTTCAGTCGAAGTAATCTTGGTCTTAGCGTGGTTCTTGATAAGTTTACTTTCTTGCCCGACGGAAGAACTGCCTAGAATCACATTTCATGCGGATGCCGAACATATCTTCGTGAACCCATGGTATTTCCTTCATTAAAACTATTATCTGGTACCTTTCGTTCCGAGTGTTTTCCTAGGACCAGAGCTCAATTTCGTTATGCCATAAAATCATTTTTGAGTCACGCATGTCATGTGGCCTATTAAGATGGGCTGACTTATAGAGCGCGATACACGTGTTCCGATCTTGCGGTCTCTTCAGTAGGGCATTTACCCTTTCCTGTCTCTTGCCAATCCTCTGTGACCTGCGTGGCTCAAAAATGATCTTTGGCATATTGAAATTTGAGCGGTGGTCTTAAGAAAACACTCGGAACGAAAGATATGATATATTGAATATAATGACCAACAGCAATCGAGTGTACATCACTGTTTGTTCAGTGGTAATTTTACTCGATTTGCAGTGTAAAATGTTCGCCGTCGCTAACGCTTAGTGTGGGGACTGGAGCACCCTCAGAGAATTGGCAAATACGAGAAAGGGTAACTGCCCGACTGACGAGACTGCAAAGTCGAAACACGTGTATCGGGCTCTTTAAGTTAGCCTATCTTAACAGACTACATGACATGCGTGGCTCAAAAATGATTTTATGGCATATTACCTGATGGTTGGTATTTCTAAGCCATGCATGTAGTTTGTTATAGACGCTTATACAGTGATGTACACGTGTTTCAGCCTTGCACAGCCTCAACAGTAGCACAGTGCTTTTCGACTTAGCCAGTCGTTTTGGTGGGAGCTCAGCCCCTTTACATAGAGAAGACGCAGACGTACTATTTACACGCTCCATTGATTAAAAGTATTACAGAATTGACGGTATTGTACATTTGCTTGCTCTTAGCTGGTGTCGTCAAACATATCATACCTTTCTATAACTAACGTGTAAAATAACCATCAGGCAAAATAAAATTTGTGTTTGGTTCAAAGGAACACTTGAAACGCAAACTATTACCATCTCTAGGTACTATGACATATCACCTCCCCGCGCCAAGTGTTTCGATTAAATTGAAAACTGATAAATAGTTTTTGTCATTGTTTAAGAATAAGATGAAGGAGAAAAGTCGTGTGTAGATATCACAAGCCAAAGTAAGCCGTTTCTCTCCAAGCTTCGCAGATTAAAGAGCAAGACTACAACTAACGATTGCCAAACTACTTGATAGCGTGTCAGCCTCTTCTGAGCTCTTCAGTTGAAATGCGGATCGTATTTTCGCTATTACTAGCAAAGTGCCTGAGAACAGAATGAAGAATTGCAGCTATTTTCGTTGCTACATGTCTAACGTATCTGGTAGATAGCCAGTCGTAGGAAGACCCACACAATCAACAAGCAGGAAAAAAACATTAAAATATTCGAAAAGAACTGGTGTTCGGAAGTACAGCCATGTCTAGCAGACATGTTTCGCTAGCAGCGCCGAATATGGAACAAAGGAATGTCGGACTATAACGTTATGGCGCCGTGAAACGTAATTTAGTCTTCTTTCTGACGTTCAACTCTGGTAGAGAACATAAGCAGACACAGCCCCATAAGAAACTGCGCTAAGGAATTCGAGCAAAAAAAGCAGAATTCCTCAATCAGTAACTGGTGTCGCCGAATTCTACTGAAATGTTCGTTGACATTTATTCTGAGTTAATTTATTAGAAAAAGAGGGTTCTTTTCCGTTAGACGGCATGGGAAGAAGAAATGACCCCTTTCGCTGAACAACAACTTTTCATATGCTCGTTAAAGGTTATGCAAAAGCTTCAATCTCTGGCTAGAGTAGCACGTTGCCATATTTTGAAAGAGTCTTTCTATAGCGCTGTAGCATCCAAAGCAATTATGTTCCACACCCACAGCGTGCCTTCATTTTTATGACGAGTATTATTCGCTGCAAGCACGAAAAGCAAATGAACACGTAGAGAAATCTCGTATAAGTCATCCGTTTTGCCTGGAGTTTTTGTTTCCAAAGGAAAAATTTCTAATAGAATAACAACCTGCACCCCACATGTCTGAAGAGCCAGGCCATCAATCGCGCCCCGTCTCCAGCCCGTAGATCAATCAGTAAACAAACTCGTCGAATATGTGAAACTTGATCTTACTTTGGCTGCTACATTGCAGTGAAACGGTCTTTCCTAAAAATAAGCATGGCGTTGAAATAATTGAAATTTACGCTAGCGATTGATTACTAATAGTCTAAAAAGTGAGCTTTGTCCGGCGAGGTGTAAAACACAAATACTTTCTTCCTCCTACAGCGCTATAAAAGAGCTTTCATAAAAAACAGGCACATTTTTGAGCTTTTCGAGACTTTTACTGTCGAAAACGTAGTGGCAGTCTAAGGAAGGATTTTTGTCCAGCAAAATTTAAGCGCGATAAAACGATAAACGTGTGGTGCATGTGAAACATAGGTTTATTCTGAATGCTACAGCGCTATAAAAAGACTTTTCCAAGAACGGACACGTTCTATTCAACGCTTTAAGCTTTTAAATAATTACTAACACTCTGATTGAAAGCTCTTTTATAGCAAAATAGATTGGATTTTCATCCCGTGCTGTCTAACGGAAAAGTACCGGAAAAATATGGCTTATAGGCGTCTGTAGGTCTAGTGGTCGAGTAATCCCATAAAAGAGTGAGTAATTGATATATAATTATGGTTATGAAAATGTGTAATATACTTGCTGAGAATAAAAATACAACACGAAGGACGAACTGTGCGGAAGCCTAAGAGCAGTGTGACGATTAATAAACGAGTGAATACAAAGCTCTATATAATCTGTAAAGCATAATCATGTCTTGTAGCCGCCGGAAGTGAGTATTGTTCAAAAAATTAGTTTTTTTTATTTCCAACATGTGCGAACAGGTTCAAATTTTTTACATCATCATAAGAACCCAAAGTAAAACTTACCCTGAGAAATTCTGAGCTTTTCCGAAGATAAATCGTTCATCAATCGACCGAAACCAATTAATAAGAAGAGAAAAAGCACCATTATAAGACAGATAAGTGATATCGATGCACCTATAAGTACTTTCATACAATGTGAAAAAATAAACAATTTGTGAGGGTCACGTAAAGCATCTTTGTTGGAAGAACAATAGGTTCAAATTTTCCCTTCGACATTAGGTACCTGTGGTATTATGCAGCGGTTAGACGCACACAGCAATACACATAAGATTCTCGGTTCAATTCATGTTCTGCGTTGATTAATCCCTGCCCCTTTACCTAAACAACTTCAGAAGATTCGTACAAATGTATGAGAAAAATTACTGATAAAACATTGGCGCCCATAACTCGTGGACTCGCCAAATGCGCACCAATCACAGTGCGATGCATACCTCATTTCCAGCTATGGGCAACAGCGATCTCCCCATCTTCTGCACCTGACAAAAAACATGACCGACTGGTTATTTAAAGAGATCTTTTCCGTTACCAGGTAGAGATTTTTTCGGAAAATTCAATGATGCACTGTTTCCAATCAGGCTTCTTACGGCGGTGTAGCATCATAACAAAATTATATTTCGCACGCATCGCGCTTATCGCACTTTTATCTTGCAAAACAGAGCTCTTTCTTTAGACTAATAATAACCAATCGACAGCTTAATTTTCTTCAATTCCACACTTGTTCCCTGAAAAGACCATTGAACTGCGCTGTAGCGGAGTAAATGAGATTCAGTATCAAACGCGCCGTGCATGCGTAATTTTTTGATTTTCTTACTAAGATCAGGATTCTTCTCTGGCTCGAAAAAGATCTAGGACTCTGACTCTTCAAGATCTCCTCTATACGCTCATATGCTTTTCGTGATTGGGCTTAGTAGCGGGTTCATTTGGCAATGTATAATGAAAATGAAAATCTCAAGCACTAGGACAGTAAAACAAGGTTCCTTCTACAAATTTAAAATGAAAACCTGAGAATCTCTGCAAAGTAGGACGCGTTTAATAGACAACTTTACTTTTTCTGCTCTAGCGCTGTAGAAACGCCATTTCAAAGAACCAAACAGACTCATAAAATCTCCGAGATTTATGCTATCAAATGACTACTAGTAGTCAAGG